AGATCATCGTCCTTGTAGTCATCAGCAGCACTTCAGCAGTGTGATCATCGTCGCCCTCCTCGGTCACGGATTATATTGCGTTCATCCCACAAAAGGCAGGAGCAGGTCGCCTTCTTGTCCTTCCATTCTTTCCCACAGGTGTAGCAGAACTCATAGCCGCACCTGCCAGAAGCAAAGAACACGATGAGCATTAGCGCGGAAAAGACACATCCTGGAGACCAAGGAACAGCCTGACGTGAAAAAATCACTGAACAACCAGAGGCAAATACTTACACGCAGGTGATATGGTAGCAACCCTCAGCGAGCTCGATCAGGTGCTTGCATTTGACGCACTGGCGCCACGACCGCCGCTGTGCAAGGTTCTGTAGAGCATGAGGGTACCTTCTCTTGTAGTCAACGCAACTTATCCCGTAATGCCATGGGACCTTACATTTGACGCAGAACAAGCGCCCGCATTTCACGCACTTCCCCAACGTCTCGGCTCCAGCAGCAGGTTCTTGCAGTGGGTGTATCGCTTCACTCGAGGACATTAAGGCTGAGCACCTGGAATTCGGGCAGTAAACCTTCTGAGTGGGAGGGATTTGTGCTTCCCTGATGCGTTGCGCCATGGTCTCTAACAGTTGGGGCGACAGGAATATCTTTGAACCCTCCACGGTTAGCTTGGTAGTGCAGCCATCTTGTGGACAAGCTGGGAGCGTTCCATCGCCCAGCTTAACTCTCACATGCTCTTTCATGCAGGACAAGCAAAACCGATGCGCACAGCCTTCAACTGCGTGAATCTTGGAAACATCAGTGTCTTCCAAGCAGATGGTGCAGGTCTCTCTCTTGCAGGCCTCTCTCTTCTTGGTGCCTACCAAATCTGTTGCTAATTTTGTTGCGTAACCGACTTGGCCGCGTGGAATAAGTGAGAATTCACAATGATTGAATTTCCTCATTAGTGACAGAGCCTCATTTACCAAATGTTCACTCTTGTTCTTTGTGGGACGCCAAGTTCCAAGCATCTGCAAACATATGGCATCGCAATAAGATTAGTACAGTGTTAAAGAATTCAATTACTTGACCATTAAATCTATCTATTATATTATTAACACAATGGAATTTTTTTGTTTCAGATCAATTTGGCGCCAGCAATAGAAAAAGAGCAGCTGAGAATATGCTCTATAACAATGGAATCAGACACCTCGTATGAACCAACATGAGTTAGTGTTGAGCAAACCTGACCACGGGAAATAAAAAGAGCATTGTAGTTGTCCTATAAAACGGACGACACACAGAGACGAAAAGATGAAGGGAAAATGGTCCATGCAAAGCAGACACAAGTCTTTATATAGCTGGCATATTGTATTAAAGCTCCTCCTGTAGTTTGGTAGATACCTAATTCCAAGGATTTCTTGGCAGGGAATTGGTGGATGAAACCCACATCTAGAGGATGCATGTAGAAATGAAAGGAAAAAAAACATGCATGCTGAAAAGGAGAAGCAATATAACCAAAGCAGGAAGAGAACAAGTGTCTACTAGCCTCAAGTGATTGGCAACTTTAACCATCCTGATCGTAGAATATGCAATCAGCGTGAGATGGTAAAATTACAGCTAGAATAACCTAGACATAGCTACATTGTTTGATATAAAAGGCTGAAAACTCCTACATTGATGGAAAAGATCTACAGGTAGGCCACGATTATAACGATTGACAATCGCAAAAATAAAATAAAAAATAACAATTGAGATTGATCAAACTACATTAAGCATATTGAAGCGGATATAAATCTTGTTTGAGATTTTTCAAATATCAATGGGAGTCCATAATTCTTATGACTGGCATACTTAGTTTGGAGTCTAAAGCAAACACAAAAGCCCCTAGCACTATCTGATCTGCTCAAATATCCTATCCAAATTCAGATTGTTCTTGGCTAAATTATTAGTTTCGGGTGGATTACAAACTCAAACTATGCAAGATTTCCGCTGGCTAACATGCATAGCACTTCTATCGCCTGTAGTAATAACATATTTTTTTTCTTTAAAGGCATGTGTTACAGAAACAAGAGATGAATTTGAATGAATGCTAATGGTGCTTTTAGAAAAGAGAAATAAAGAGAAAGAGTGTTTAAGGCTCAAGGTTCGATCTAGCGCTACAGAATTGGATATTATTTATAAAACATGCTCGCAGGATATAAGAAATGGATCCAAATGTCAAACTAAAGGTTGAAGATTCAAGCTAAAGCAAAGATACTTATATCGTCGAGGAGATTTGGCATTCACTAAACAGTTCTAGGGCTCTACCCTTAGTGGGTGTGATGTACAATCTGATCAAAGGTTGGATCTCAAAATCATGAATGTCATGAGACTAAAATTTTCGCATTAATATGCTATATAATCGAGATATCAGTCCATAACCAAATCTCACGCGTATTGAAAAGGTGGCTTATACCAAGCTTGGATATCAGATAGCTAGCGCTTTAGTCAAGCTTACACAGTGGATGCTGCACACTGATCTCGCCCTGTAACATCACTTGCTTGCAGTCTGATGTGAAATGTAAGAGCATTTCTAAACATAGGTGCGATTTTGGGGCCTCTTTGGATAGAAACAGACAATGTACATGAATGGGATAGGAACAACAGTGCAGTCCCATATGATCGCAAACAAGAGAAACTGTTCTATGGAGCACCATAGTACTTTTGCATTAATTAACTTCATTTTATAATTCCTTAAATATTCCCATTGTTGAGGAAATCGTTAACTGGTAGTTGCTCGGTTGGCTGGTGAGTAGGGGATTAATCGGCTAATCGGCAAGTTAATCAGCCATTTAATCAATTAATCGGACGATTTATCGGTTTATAGGCTACTCGGTGACCCTACGAGTAGGGATGAATCGGCAAGTTAACTCGTTAATCGGATGAATTCTTGAACAGGGAATATTCCCATGGGTTCATACATTCTATAGGTATTTCACAGAAGTCCTATAAGTCAATTGTGTAACACAGTAAGGAGAAACATAATAACCACAAGTGATGCTGATCTCATTCTATGTTTATGGAAATCTATATTGGAGCATTAGCATTGACGAAATACACACACACAAACCAGTCCTAGGACTTGAACCAAGTACGTATGACAGAAAGACGAATCTTCATTAACTAAACCATGTTCAATTCTCAGTGGGTTTATGACAACACATATTTATTACATGACATAATGTAATGTGTGCTTCAATTATAAATGTCCTGGATAATGCTAGATATTAAAATATCAGCACAAATTCTCAACGTGTACAACAAACCCAATTTCTCCAAAAACAACTAGTTGAGATTATGCATGCAGAGGAGTTGATGCAACAATAATCAAAGAGATTTACACTCTATATAAACTTTCCGTAAGTCTACGAGGTTGGTTTCTTTGTTGATGGAGCGACCTGTTGACAAGGGGGAGGTGATAGGTTTGACACTGGGTGTGACTAGAGTATTCAAGAGAAAATTTGAGGTAGAGAGAGTGTTTCTTTCGGAACCGACAATGGCAAGGTATGAGAAAGTATAATGAAGGTTCTCAGGGCATAATATCATGCTACCCAAAACGGTGAAGCTGCATCGCATTGATTGATAAGGTGGATGGTAAATAACCATGGAATTCTTGCTTCAATTACTGGCGGAAGTATTGGCACTCATGCAGTCATGCCTCATGGAGCAACAGATAAGTCGAAGCTACAGAAGAGAAGACGCCATATCGCCTTGCATGCTGGACGGCACTTACTTGCTTGCCATCAGTCCTCAGCATGGCACATATCGAGATGGTCTTGACCTTGTGCTTAATTAACTATCGACAAAGAGCAGCGTACGAATAATACAAGTAAAACAGAGATACATTTGACAACAGGCGCCTTTGCTTTTTGGAGAGTTCTTAATTAATAGCTAAAACTGACAGAAGATCGGCGCGTTGGACAGAATGAAAATTTTCATACCCAAACTTTAATGATCTTTGCTCAAGATGAATTCCAGCTACAATCTTTCTAGAATTTTCAATGTCTATGCAAAGTCGCGCAAACATATAAAAATATAGTATAATCATCAGTAAAGTCAACTAGCAATTAAGGAGAACTAGGCAACCCAACAGCTTTGAAAAAAAGGGAACACTAAATATGGTAATGCACAATGAATCTAACTGCTTAAATGCGAGGGCCACCTTGCTAGCTTACATGTACATCAAGTATCTCTCCTGAACTATTGACATTTCACACAAAAATGATGGGTTAAACTTTGTTTTTCTTGCAGTGCGATAAGCAAGAATAGCAGATAGTGGAACTGAATGTTGTACAACTAATTATAATGAGCATTGAAATAGTGCTACAAATTTATGTTTTGCCTAAATTTAGCTAGAGATCGGACTATGTGATGATTTAATCATCACTTTGTGATTAACTCTAGCAGTACAGCATTTCATGAACAATTGTAAATAAAATCCCAAATCCCCATATCAACAGATCATATATTTCCCATCTCCTTCTGATGATATTTCTAATAAGAGATCGCAATTGATACCACGCAGAAACTGTATTAAGATAGATGACAGATGCAGATTTGGAGATTTTAGCATGGCATACATATTTGTGCAGCGCCTTGAAGTCGGAGACGATGTTAACCCATCGTATCCCCACCTCGAGCGCAGCCTGGATGCCTTCCTTGAGCGCCAGCACCTCGAGCTCCATGCGTCCGCCCACAAACCTTTCCACGCGCTTCTGTATGGTGCGCACCACAAACCTTTCCCCGGCGCCCTCCTTGTTCGACAAGCCCTTGTAGAAGACGCGGGAGGAAGGGGAGCGGCTTGGGTCCAGAGGCCGCTCGAAGAGGTCTGGAGTGCCGGCGAGCTCGCGCGCCAAGAGGGCGCCGCGGGAGGCCACGCGGGAGGAGGTGTTTGCCTTGGCGTGGGCGGCGCGGAAGGCCTGGGCGTCGCGGCGGTTCTTCTCTTGGCGCGCGAGTTCGGCGAGTGCGACTTCGGAGGACCAGAGCGCAGAGACGGGTTGACATGAGCGGCAAGAACAGGAGGCGGCGGCGGTGGCGGCGCTGGAAGAGGGCTGATTGGGAGTTGGGACGCGGAGGGAAGCTTGGATGGCCTCGTTGAGCTGGAGTTGGAAGGCGAAGTCGTGGTCGGAGACGAGGGCGACTTGCTGGCGGAGGCGTCGGGAGGCGAGGTCGCCGTCGCGCCATGATCGGAGCCGGCGGTCGGGCGGTGCCACAGCCCACAAAGACGAGGGTTTTGAGTGTGACGCCAAATGTCGGGATGGAATGGGATGTTTCGTTCGTTTATGGGAGCATTTTGGCCCATCTCGTCTGGGCTTTCCAATCATCTCTCGGGCCTTCCTTCGTGACTGTAACCTAATGGTCCAAATGAGTCACCAGTAGGCATAAAGTTTTCTCAAAAAAAAAAAACAGTACGTATAAAAAATTCTACTTGGTTCAGATTTATTGGTCGCCTCGTATTTTGAATCAAAATTTCATCATAGATTTGACCAGCAAAAGGTAAGTTATATGTGTCAAAATTATGTTTTTGATTCGTATTCGCAAGAACTTTTCAATGGTACCATTTTTTTTTTGCGAATTAACTCTTTTATTACTCAATCATAAGGAATTACAATCTCGCGAGGCAATACATAAGACTTCATCAGGAGCTGAGCCGAGCCAAACCATGGTTCGCCCCTGCCCACTCCCAAACCTAGCCATGGCATGACTAACACTATTGCCCGAGCGGCGGATATGAGTAATACAAGAGTCCCGTTCTCCCATACTTTGCTTGATCTCTCCAATCATAAAGGCATATCTTGAGAAGTTGCGACCTGCATCCTTGATCATCTGGACGGCCTCGAGACAGTCAGACTCAATGTCTATAGGAAGAGAACTTCATTGCAACGCCAAACTGATGCCCTCCTTGATGGCCAATATCTCAGACTCGAGTACATCTTCACAAGCCCACACAAACCTACAAGCGCTGAAAATAATATTTCCAGCAATGATCCCGCAAAACCATACCAGTTCCCGCATTGCCATTCAAAACAGAGCCATCCGTATTTAGCTTCACTCTTCCTTCGGTTGGGGGATCCAAGGGCTAGTGTTTTGTATCTGTACCTCACGTGCAGCGTTCGCTTCTAGGAGGAACTGAGCCGGAACTAACTTGCCCTTGTCATAATCAACGTCTTGGTTAGCAGTCAAGCTTGCCAAAGAATTCAAATAACTTTCCAGGAACCGGGCAGATACATCCACCCGAGGAGCGGGCTTTGCATGGACAACTTCGTTCCTGACGTGCCAAATTCTCCATAAGAGCGTAATTAAGCGGACACACAGGTGAACTTCAGCTTCACATATTACCTGGATGAACCAGTCATCATGCCGCTTTATATCTGTGAGTTTGGGCAGCTCCCACACCTTCGCCATTGCACACCAGAGCTGTTGAGCATTATCACATGCACAGAACACATGAAACGAGTCCTCAACTTCTCTGCCACAGACTGGACAAGTGTCCTGTTCCTCCATAGTCCTCCGCTTCTTATTCTTCCACGTCGCCAGAGAGTCCGTTGCTAGTCGCCAAGCAAACGACTTAACCTTCGGCGGAGCCGGACAAGACCAAATGTGCTTCCACACTTCCCTACTACTATCCGCAACAGAGCTCGACGAAGGGATCGATGGTTGTAGCATTTCATTTGTAGCAAGCCAATAAGCGCTCTTTACAGTGAAAACTCCACTCCTCTCCGGCGCCCACGCCAGAAAGTCCTCCCCAAGCCGTGGCGAAGGTTTTATCTTGCAGATCTGTGCCACGTCAATCAGTAAGAAGAATCGTTGGAGCTTTTCCAAATCCCAGTTGCCATTAAGATCAAATAACTCAGCTACCCATTTGAGGCGGCACCGGCCTCTACTCGAAAGCAGAGAATTTGTGTTGCCTCTCATTAACCATTGATCACGCCATATTCTCACATTCTGGCCATTCGCTATGCGCCACACGAGCCCTTTCTTTAGCAACTCAAGCCCATGACAGACCCCTTGCCATGACTGTGATGGGTTACCCGAAAAAACAGTATCTTCTAGCCTCCCATTTGGGTAGTATTTTCCCTTTAGCAACCTTGCACACAGACTATCAGGATGGATCAACAATCGCCACGCTTGCCTTACAAGCAAAGCTTGATTAAAGAGTCTAAAATCCCTGAATCCAAGGCCTCCTTGTGATTTTGCTCGCAACATTTTCTCCCATGCATACCAATGCGTTTTACGCTTTCCCTTCTCCGAACCCCAAAAATAGTTACGGATCATGCGGTTCAGATCGTCACAGACCCCTAGTGGTATCTTAAAAACACTCATAATGAAGGTGGGGATTGCCTGCGCAAGAGATTTTATCAATGTTTCCTTCCCAGCCTGTGTTGGATGTCCATCATAAGCAAACAACCTTTTACTAACTTTCTCCTACAGGTTTTGAAGCTTGCCTTTTGTAAGCCGGCCATCCGGCGTTGGTAAGCCCAAATATTTCTCCTCAAAACCCGAGCTGACCACCTCCAGCACACCTTTTACCTCAGCTGCTATACTGGCCGGACAAGAATCTCCAAAAAGGATAGATGATTTTGCCGGATTCAATAGTTGGCCCGTGGCTTGCTCATAAGTCTTAATAATCTGCTTAACAGTATTCGCCTGCTGCCCAGTGGCCTTAAAGAACAAGAGAGTATCATCTGCGAATAATAGATGTGATATTCCAGGGGCTCTCCTCGTGATCTTCAACAGGGACAACTCAGCTGAGTTTATCCCATTATTAAACAGAATTGACAAACCATCAGCCACCAATAGAAATAAGTATGGGGATAAAGGATCACCTTGCCGTAATCCACAAGACGGTGCAAATGAATTAGAAATGGCTCCATTGAATTTTATTGAATATCTCACCGAGGTTACGCATGACATTATCCAGTCAACCCACCAATGAGCAAAGCCAAGCTTTTGCATCATTTGCTTAAGGTAATCCCAGTCAACTCGTGTTGGAAATATGCCCTAGAGGCAATAATAAATTGGTTATTATTATATTTCCTTGTTCATGATAATCGTTTATTATCCATGCTAAAATTATATTGATAGGAAACTCAGATACATGTGTGGATACATAGACAACACCATGTCCCTAGTAAGCCTCTAGTTGACTAGCTCGTTGATCAACAGATGGTTACGGTTTCCTGACCATGGACATTGGATGTCGTTGATAACGGGATCACATCATTAGGAGAATGATGTGATGGACAAGACCCAATCCTAAGCCTAGCACAAAGATCGTGTAGTTCGTATGCTAAAGCTTTTCTAATGTCAAGTATCTTTTCCTTAGACCATGAGATTGTGCAACTCCCGGATACCGTAGGAATGCTTTGGGTGTACCAAACGTCACAACGTAACTGGGTGGCTATAAAGGTGCACTACAGGTATCTCCGAAAGTGTCTGTTGGGTTGGCACGAATCGAGACTGGGATTTGTCACTCCGTGTAAACGGAGAGGTATCTCTGAGCCCACTCGGTAGGACATCATCATAATGTGCACAATGTGACCAAGGGGTTGATCACGGGATGATGTGTTACAGAACGAGTAAAGAGACTTGCCGGTAACGAGATTGAACAAGGTATCAGCATACCGACGATCGAATCTCGGGCAAGTATAATACCGTTAGACAAAGGGAATTGTATACGGGATCGACTGAGTCCTTGACATCGTGGTTCATCCGATGAGATCATCGTGGAACATGTGGGAGCCAATATGGGTATCCAGATCCCGCTATTGGTTATTGGCCGGAGAGGTGTCTCGGTCATGTCTGCATGGTTCCCAAACCCGTAGGGTCTACACACTTAAGGTTCGGTGACGCTAGAGTTGTTATGGGAAATAGTATGTGGTTACCGAAGGTAGTTCGGAGTCCCGGATGAGATCCCGGACATCACGAGGAGTTCCAGAATGGTCCGGCGGTGAAGATCGATATATTGGACGAAGGGTATTGGAGTTCGGAAGTGTTCCGGAGGTACCAGGCTATGGCCAGCATGACCGAAAGGTGTTTCGGGAGCCCCGGCAAGTGTTGGAGGGCCTCATGGGCCAAAGGGGAAGGGGCAAACCAGCCCAGTAAGGGTTGGTGCGCCCCCCACACCCTTTCCCATGTTACTTGGGGAGGTGGGGCGCCTCCACCTGGCTTGGAGGCAAGCCTCCACCTGCTTGGCTTGGGGGGCAAGTCTCCCTAGGATTTTCCCTAGGGAGATCCAATCTGCCTAGCCGCCGCCCCCTAGGGGAAACCCTAGGGTGCCTCCCCCTCTCCCCTTGCCCCTATATATAGTGGAGGGGTGGGAGGGCAGCCGTGACCTCTTCCCTGGCGCAGCCCTCCCTCCTCCTACCTCCTCCTCCTCCTCCATGGTGCTTGGCGAAGCCCTGCCGGAGAACCACGAGCTCCACCACCACCACGCCGTCATGCTGACGGAGCTCTCCCTCAACTTCTCCTCTCCCCTTGCTGGATCAAGAAGGAGGAGACGTCCCCAGGCTGTACGTGTGTTGAACGCGGAGGTGCCGTCCGTTCGGCACTTAGATCGGAATCAACCGCGATCTGAATCGCTACGAGTACGACTCCTTCATCCGCGTTCTTGCAACGCTTCCGCTTAGCGATCTACAAGGGTATGTAGATGCACTGTCCTTCCCCTCGTTGCTGGTTTCTCCAT